AGATGGATATTATATGTATATTGTTGTATATATGTATATGCATATAGTACATTGAGGGAGACGGGATGGGCTGGGCGCACGTTAAATCCAAAATAAAAGTTCTTTAATACCGAGCACAGTAGAATGCAAAAATGCGGACCGAACGCTACGGCGACGACGACGACGAATTTCGACTGCGGCGAAACCGAAAACGAATCGAAAAAGCAACGGGCGAACGGTCGGCGTGACGGCGAAAAAGTGAGCAAGCAACTCGCGCAAGCTCGAAATCAAAACAAACGATTATTTGTCTATTTAAAATTATGATTAACAATTGCGAGAGAGTCGGAGACAGAGACAGTGGCTAGGAGAGCGGTAGAGCTGGAGAGCAGTATAGAAGCTAGCAGGACAGACAGAGCTAGCAAGCTAGAAGATAGTAAGCGCCTGCCAGAGAGAGAGAGGGAAAAGCTAGCAGGAGAGAGAGATTAAGTAGCGGTGCCGGAACAGCTGTTGTTTTTGAGGCGAGTCAAAAACTGCGCATACGACGCGTTGTACGATATGAGAAATGATTAAGCTAAATGCTGCTCATTTGTTTGTTTATTTGTTTGTTGCTTGCGGATTCTCGTTCTAACTGATTAGCATTGTTAGTGCTTATGGCATTCGCATTAGCTTCAATTAGGGGGAGGGACAGACAGAGAACACAGCATGTGCTAAATGGAAAACTTTCCGCCCTTTTTCTGTCCCGCAGAGCGGAAGCAAGGGCAAAACTTCTAGGGAGCTGGAGCGCCCTCAATCCAAAAAGTGTGGAAAGAAATTTCAAGGAGAGATTAGGGATCTGCATATGTAAGTACACTTTGTAACGCTTTGGATGGGTAACTTGTGTGAAAACCATTTGAAGGAGAGATTAGGAATCTGACAGCGTAAGGGTGCAACGCATTGCATTGGCTACAGGTCTCAAGGAGAGATTTAATATTCAAATTTTGTATGGCGTTGCTCAAGTATAATGCTACGAATTCCTTCTAGCAGAAGAAGAGTCGGTTGTGAACAGTAGAAAGACAAGTCGCTGTCGGTTATCCTCAAGTCTTCAAGTCTCTTCGTCTCTATTCACAGACCATAAATAGCTCTACGCTTTTTTGGTGACTAATTTACTAATTTTAAGTAATTTAAAAATATTAATTTGAAATTGAATAGTTACTGTGGATTTTCCCTTTTTTATACAATCGCAAATTTCTAAGCAAATTTATTTCACAAACACACAAAATGTAAGCCAAACAAAAAAAAAGAAACAATACCCTGCAAACAACTAAATGGATTATGTATGTACATTGTACAACCCCAGATGGGGGTCTAAATACAGATGTTTGTGTGGGAAATTAGCACTTGGTCGGCCACTGGCACTTTCCAGCCTTTCCATCTAAACAATATTGGTTTGTGAAATTAGTTAACTGCTTTTATTGCAAATTACATCACGCCCACCGCCATAAGCAATGGGAGAAGTGCGGTGTTGATGGAAACTAACGTCAAACACGCGATTCGAGAAGGCAAACAACACGCGACCGGAACGCACTTTACACCCGCTATATAAGCACTTGAGAATAACGCACTTGATGATGGTTTTGCTTTGGGTTTGGATTTGTTTTTTGTCAGGGGAATGCGAGGCATTGGTTGTACTTGGCAGCTCGACGGCGGGCAAACAAATGAGCTGAGGGCCCGACCCCGGCGACACAGCTTTTGGAGCTCTCAAACTTATGCAATTTTGCACAGGTGATGGTAACGACGCCTCGACATTTGACTGTGCCAGGCGGACAGGCAGGCGGAATTTTCTAATTTTGCCACACTGCGCTACAAAGTCCGTTGGATAACTGCCAGGTTGTGGCCCCAGACCGAACCCCGAGCACAACCCATTGACGCCAGACGTTTGCTGCTGCTCCTGCTGCTCTTTCCTCTGTTTCCTCTGTTTCCTCTGTTTCTGCTGAATGTCATTATCAAGGTTTATTTGATATATTTTCCCTCCCGCCTTTTTGTTTCGCCTTGTTTTTGCTTGTGAATGAAATGTGCAACAGAGATGGCAGTATAGAGACAGAGAGAGACAGAGAGAGGAGGAACGTGAGTAAGGCACGCGCCAAATGGTTTGTGTCTGGGCTTAACAAAACGGTAAATCAATCTGAACGGGATAATGAAAAATTGCGTGGCGCACAAAATTTGGAGTCAATAAATTGGATAGTGAGAAGCCGAAATGCCTGGAGACCCACACCAAGAACACTCCAGACGTGGTACGATCGTTACTGTGAAACTGGAAACAGATCTAAAATCCTTAAATTTTATAATAAATACACTTTTATAAACTGTTTCCCCACTCTTCATCAGTGAATAAAAACCATAAATTTTTGTATTTGATTATGTGCTCACATGGCCATGTGTGTGTGAGTTTGAGTGTCGTACGACCGCGTGTGTTCGTCTGCAATCAAAGTGAATCATCACTTAAAGCAATGGGGAAGACGGAGAAAACAAACAAACGGATAAACATATGCAAAAGCGCCGACGCAGACAGCTCAAAGGGGACGGACGAGGAGAGAGACGACCAAAAACTGTGCACAGCTAACTGTAAATGCGATATCACACACCAGAACACAAACACACCGACAGACAGGGGCAGAACGATTGTGGCCTGGTAGGTGGGCGTAAACAATTATCAGCGACTGCAGCAAAAACGAAATGCAGCTAATTACAAAAAGCTGCACCCAGGCGGCAGACCAGACAAAAAAACACACACACTTAAGTGCTCTTGGCCAGAAATAGAACATTTACAACCCGACCGACACTCACCTGCAACGCCGCCTCCTACTCCTCCATTACCACAGTCCAAGGAAAGTAAATCCTCCTGCAGCTCCAGCTGCTCCTCCATTTGCAGTAATTTCGGGAGGGCCTGGGAAACGAAAACGCCTTGGACAATCAATTGGCAATGTTATTGTTTATTGTTGTCGAAAATTTCGTCTTGTCGTCTGCCTGAGTGTGACCGCGGACTTATCAATCAAATATACCATCTGACCCTCGAAAATATACCAAAATATACCTTGTCATTTTCAAAATATACTATAAATATACCCATTAATGATTTGAACTCATGGATGAAATTATTCGGGCGGGACTGTGTGTGCCTATATTGGCGACTGCACGGACCTTTAGAGCACCCAGCTAAAATATAACACACACAATCAACAAGCATAGTTTATGGGATAGAATAAGTTTGTATGTAAGGTTTAAAAGCAATAGGTAAATACTTACAATACATTTTTGTATAATATGCAATTTCTGCAAATTATGTTGACAATTTAGCCCACATTTATTGCAGACGTCTAGTGGGCAGCAGGCACATTTTATTAAGGCTGCCGGCAGCACAAAGATAGTATTGAGGCCTGAGCTGCAGGAGACCGAGAATCGGTGGCCTTCGCGGAAAATGAGGGGGAGGCCTAAACTGCTGGATCTGCTGGAATTCCATCGTGGGCCTTCCTGTTTTTCGTTTCTCCACATTTTGCTTTAAGGTACGTACGGTGTACGTCGGCCACGTCCACGACCTTCGGAAGGTAGCATTCTAAGCAGCAACTCCTGCTGCATGAAGTGGGCCCGTGCCACCTCTATGCTAGCGGTCATATATTGCGGCATATAAGCCAGAAAAGTCCTCACTACTTCTCTTTTCAGTGCAGCGCCATGTCCTGGGGCCCTGTTTGGCTTTTTGTTTCCATTTTGTTTGTTATCCATTGTCTGAAATAAAAGAACAAAAAAAGTTTAAATAAAAGTTTTAAATAAATAGACACATCTAATAGGAAATTTTCCAGAGATTTAGCGAATATAATTTTTAAGATAATTTTAGTTTAGGAGATATGAGCACAGCAACACTTATCGGAAAATGATGCACAACATGGAATGGGAATGAGCAACTATAAAATTTAAGCAATTTTTGTAATCTCAGGCTTCAATCAATACACAAACAAGTAAGTCTCTGATTTAAAGCTATTTCCACGAAACTTTGCAGTTTACACCTACATAAGATTTGTATCAAGAGCGAGAAATCTATACTACAAATTTTCTAGAAAAAATTCTGTGTGCAAGCGGATATCGCCGCAACGCGTGCACCAAATAATAGTTGATAAATAGGTTCCTCGAAAATTTAAACTTAATCCAAAAAACGCCTATTTCATTTTATTTTGTGTCATTCTGAAGAACAGAACATTTTATGATAGATTTAGTTTTTATAATTTTTTGATTTCCGCAAAAATTGAAATTTGTGTGAGTATATTTGTTGCTTTGTTTGTTTAATTTCGATGAATTCCTAAACATTAAATACATTTAGTAAGAAGTAAATAAATTTTATTTAGTAAATAAAATAAAATAAAAAACATGACAATCATGTCGTCAAGGAAATTCAATATTAATGTTATTAGCTTGGAAAACGGAATTTTAGCATTAATTAAAGGAAGTGGGGTATAAAAATTCAAATACTACCGGTTGAGAAGCAACAAGTTGTCAGATGACGTAACATTTCATTCCCACTTACGTTAGATTTCATTCCCACTACGTGTTATGCTTTTATTTTGTCGATAACCTTTTTTGTAAACAATCCAATAAAAAAAAGTCCGTAAAATTAACCAATCTTTTAGAGAATTGATTAAACAATCGAATAAAATTATATTTTAACTGCTGAGACTTCTAGCTAGCTAGTAACATTAAACGGAATATCAAAATAGAGGAATATGATTTCCGATCATGGACAGAGAACGATTAACCCATTGTCGACCAGGGGGGGCTTTATATACAAACATTAAAATTATGAAACTTAAAGAATTTTAGCGCTGTTCAGGTGAAGGATATCTTGGTTAAATGTTTCTTATAAGTAAAGAGGAATGATAGGAATAGAATGGATCATTAAGATGAATTTACAAACAATATTATTTTTCGCGGTTTAACTCAAGTTGCTCAAAAATTTAAATAGAGGGGGGTTAAGTGGGTTAGTTAGTAAATATATGTATATATTTTAACGATAACTCCGCGGACTTCATGGACTAAATTTAATTCTTGACCATACATAAATAAATGCCTCCTAATCAGCGTTCAGCGATGCGCTGGCGATTGCACTGACTTGCCAGAAGTGCGGTACAAAGAAATTGTGAGTACCCTTCAATCCTCCCCCATTTACGATGCTAATTCCGTGCGGACTCTCGCAGAAAAACAATGGAAATGCCGAAAGTGCCCGTTCATCCGCTGAGCAGCGATCCAACTGCCGCGTGGAAGGACATCAGCAAGACGCAGCGCGTCATCAAGGTGACCATGAAACCGCCGACGAACGCGGTGGCGGCCAACAAGGCGCGCGTAGTCTGTATGTCTGATACGCACTCGCTGACCCCGTACATCAAATTCGATGTGCCCGACGGTGACATCTTCATCCACGCGGGGGACTTTACCAAATGCGGCCAGCTGGAGGAGGTGGTGGAGTTCAACACGTGGATCGGGACCTTGCCGCACCGGCACAAGATCGTGATTGCCGGCAATCACGAGCTCAGCTTCGACCGAACGTTCACGCATCCGTTTCAGAACAAGGCCAAGGGACACTCTAGCACCAAGCACACCGGAATGTCCATTCTGGACGACTTGCCGACCCTGGGCAACGCCAAGGAGAGCATGGAGAGCGCCGTGCAGACGCAGAATATCCGCGAGGTGCTCACCAATTGCACGTACTTGGAGGACGAGCTGCTGGAGTTGTGGGGCGTTCGCATCTACGGTTCGCCCTGGCAGCCGGAGTTCTGTCGTTGGGCCTTTAATGTGCCGCGCGGCGCAGCCTGTCTGGAGAAGTGGAACCAAGTGCCAGCGGGCGTCGATATACTCGTGACCCACACGCCACCCGTGGGCCATGGTGATCTGTGCTGCTCCGGCGTGCGGGCTGGCTGCGTGGAACTCCTCTCGTCGGTCCAGCAGCGGGTGAGGCCCAAGTACCATGTGTTCGGTCATGTCCACGAGGGCTATGGCATTACCAGCGACGGGCGGATCATCTATGTGAATGCCTCTACATGCGACATCAATTATTTACCCAACAATCCTCCCATTGTGTTCGATGTGACGCTCCCACCTGGCACTAGCAAGGATTAGTGCCTAGACCCAGTACCAGCCATGATATTATTTACATATATTTTTAAGTTGTTTAAATTTGATTTCGAACCCGATAAACGCTCATTTCAAACCGATTGCACCGATCGCAACTAGATGGCAGCCTGACTGCACTTTGGATGGATGGCAACACTGCTCTGCTGCAGTTTGACATTCCTCTTTGCGCGCGCTCCGTAACGGTGCTCTTCCAAGTTTTTTTCCGAGCGGCGTGGACGGACGAGCAAAAGGAGAAAAAGAAGATATCCAAAAGACGTAGAGAAGTCGTCCGTGTCCCGTGGCCCCTTGAAAATTGATTTTAAATTGTATTTCCATATTTTAGCTGTGCAAAAAGAATAAACACACGTAAAATGGTGAGATTTAAATACAAATCTTTCGAATAAAGCGCACTAAGTAGCATTATTGTTAAAAGAAATTATAAAACAAGCAAGAAATATGCTGGAAAGTCGCTTTTATGTAAATTTCCCAGCACACCAGAGATATCCCTGATTGAATATCGATGGGATTGTAAAGTTTTAGCAAAGTTTACGTCGGGAAATCTCCAGATGATCGGCCAAAGAGTTTTCTGCTCGGAAATCGGATTAATTTTCCTAACCTCCAACAATGGCGGCGTCTTCTGTTTCTCCTTCTCTATCTTTCGTCTCGCTCTCCTTTTTTAGCGCGAAGTCATCTCCATCCAGATCGGGCAGTGCGGCATCCAGATAGGGAATTCCTGCTGGGAGCTATATCTCCTCGAGCACGGCATCAATTTGGATGGCAGCCCCAAAACCAAGGAGGAGCTGGTGGCCAGCGGCAGCAGCGCCAGTGTGGGGCACGACACCACGGCCAATGATGCACGGACCTTCTTCACGGAGACGGGCAACGGAAAGCAAGTTCCACGCTCCATATTCGTCGACCTGGAGCCGACGGTCATCGATGATGTGCGGAACGGACCCATGCGGGATCTCTACCATCCGGAGCAGCTGATCTCGGGGAAAGAGGACGCGGCCAACAATTATGCCCGCGGCCGCTACTCCATTGGCAAGGAGGTGATCGACAAGGTGACGTCCCGACTGCAGAAGATCGCCGAGCAGTGCGACAGCCTGCAGGGCTTCCTCATTTTCCACTCGCTGGGTGGAGGCACTGGCTCCGGGTTCACCTCGCTGCTGGTGGAGCGCCTCTCGACCGACTACAGCAAGAAATGTAAGCTGGACTTTGCCGTCTACCCCTCGCCCAAGGTCTCCACGGCCGTGGTGGAGCCCTACAACGCCCTGCTAACTACCCACTCGACCATCGAGCACTCCGACTGCGTCTTCATGGTGGACAACGAGGCCATCTACGATATCTGCAACAATAGCCTGGGTGTGGACCGACCGGCCTATCTTAATCTGAATCGGCTGATCGCCCAGATTGTCAGCTCCACGACGGCCTCCCTGCGATTCAATGGCTCCATGAATGTGGATCTCAATGAGTTCCAAACGAATCTGGTACCCTTTCCGCGCATCCACTTCCCCCTGGTGGCATACGCTCCGCTGATGTCCGCCTCGCGGGCTGCCCACGAGCAGCACGCCATCACGACGCTGACAAACGCCTGCTTCGAGTCGTCCAACATGATGGTCAAGTGCGATCCGCGGGCCGGCAAATTCATGGCCTGCTGCATGCTATACCGCGGCGATGTGGTGCCCAAGGATGTCAATGCCGCCGTCTCGGCCATCAAGTCCAAGCGGCATATCCAGTTTGTCGACTGGTGTCCCACCGGCTTTAAGATCGGCATTAACTACGAGAAGCCAGCCTTCGTCCCCGAAGGAGATCTGGCCCCCACGTCCCGTGCCTGCTGCATGCTCTCCAACACCACAGCCATCTCGGTGGCCTTCTCCAATCTGTCGTACAAGTTCGATCTGATGTTCAGGAAGCGTGCCTTCGTCCACTGGTACGTCGGCGAGGGCATGGAGGAGGGAGAGTTCACCGAGGCACGCGAGAACATTGCCGTGCTGGAGCGCGACTTCGAGGAGGTCGGCCTGGACAATGCGGACGATGCGGCAGGCGATGACGAAGAATTCGATGAGTACTGAGACCAGATCGAACACACTAAATATTTCATCTTAATTATGTAAATAAATTAATATCGTCTGGAAACGAAACAAATGTATTTGTAGATGGATTTTTCAAGGGTTGGGGCTTGCAATTGCAATCCATACATAACTAAATAAAAGAATAGTTCGTAAGTAGAGTTATTGAAGTGTTATCAAGGGACGTGAGCATGCCATACATGTAATGCACAAAGATCCCATCTGTTGTAGAAACCATCCAGATTGGAAGTTTCAAAGGTATCAGCATCAAACAAGAGATACTTCTCGAGATACGTCGTTGAATCAAAATCATCTAGTGTTCATTGAGCATACACATCTCATTTAAAACCATTTCGGAAGACGAAAACTCTCAGACGTTACAGAAAATAAATTTTCCTAAAAATCGAAATTCCAACAAAATGTCGCACATACGTCATCTTAATACGGATGAACACAGAAATCTAAATCTGTGGCTTAAAGAGCAACACATCGATCTGAATGCAAAAAAAAGACGCGAGCTCTCTGATGTCCTGCCGGTGGCCGCAATTGTCAAGAGTGTATACACTCGTCTGGTGGACCTGAATACCTATACACCCTCACGGCACAGTGTGGCTCTCAAGTTAAAGAATTGGGAGATTTTTAATCAGAAGGTTCTTAAGAAACTGCACATGAAATTGTCCGCATCAGAAATAAAGGATCTCGCCCAAGGCAGAACAGGAGCAATAGAGTCGCTGTTCTACGACCTTTTCGTGGCAGACACCAGCGCCAAGACATGCAGTGAATCAAAGACATCCAACGAGTCGTTGAAAAAACTGAGAGGGACGCCTAAGAAACCCAGCAAGTCGTTCAAGGAGTGTAAAGAATCGTTGCAGAGACGCAACGAATCGTTGCAAATACCAAACGAATCGTTGCAGAGACACAACGATTCGTTACAAGGACCCAACGAATCGTTGCAGAAGCCAAACGAATCGTTGCTTAGACCCAACGATTTGTTAAAGGATCCCAGCGAGTGGTCGAAGTCGAGGGCACTGACCTTCAACCACATCTCAAGGCCTGCCCCTGTCCTGGAATTGTCGGAGATGTTAATCGTCGATGCGGGGCAAACGATCAACGGGAAGGAACTGGAATTGCCGTTCAACGTTGTGCCTTACGATATTTACGAGGAGGACATGCGCAAAAGCTTAGCAAAGGACGCCTTTATTATAAGACTAGAAGAGAAATCAAAATATCTGGAAAATATTATAAAGTCAAAGGAGAACCGCATAAACGTTCTGATGAGCCAGATGTGTAAACTATCGGATAAATTTTTATACATTCATTCAAATTTTATCAATAATGTGGATGACCTTAGTAGTACTCCAGGTATCTAGATCCAATCAAACCACCTTTCCGATCTGGATATACATGTGTTATTCCAAGATGCCCCAATTTGGGTAAGCTTAGTTCGCAGAAATCCATCGAATGGTATTTTAAAAACTTTTCTAATTCTTTCTTTTAGATGTTTGGAGTTCCTGGGTGTGTTTATACCTACATATATATTTTTGAATGTTCATTTTGGTTTTTAAGACATTTCATTTGGTTTTTGAATGAAATTAAATTATTTATGAATTTCTGTATCTTTGATTATGTCTGTTTTGTAGATCTATATTTAGAATCCAAATTGTATCTTTCACAGTAACTCATACCATACCGAATCACTCGTTGCGTATGGTCGCTAGTGCCGATCGCTGATGGGAAATTGTTTCAGCGAATCAATATGTAGGATATGTAGGATACATATGGAACAGTATCTACACCTTACTGGAGCACAGTTTGGGCGTAAATCTTTTTTAGATCAGCATCGATGTCTTCGAGTAAAAATATTTTGAATTAGTTTTCTGTAATATTTTTTTTTATATTTTCTTTAGGTTTTTTTGTTGTGGGTTTTGTTTTTGTTTTACTGTTAATTATTTTTTTTACCGCCTATTTGCTATTTTCTTGTTTTCAATTTTATTTTATTTTGTTTTCTCTTATCTTTTGTTTTGCTTAATTTTACTAGAATTTTTGTTGTTTTACTTTGAACTTGCAAGTACTTTTGCGTTTTCTTTTTTTTTTTGTTGGCTTTTGTTGCTTCTCTTCTCAAGAACTTACATTAAAGAATCATCAAAAATTTGTTGCACAGTGTAAAGTTACAATATATTCTTGTGTGTGTGTGTGTGTGTGTGTGGGTGTTTGTGTGAGTGTTTATATATATATCTTCTACAGTGTTTGTTTTTTTTATATAAATCTATATCTAAATTTCTCTCTAAGAGCAGGCCAATGTGTATGGTGATTAAAAGTGGAAATTCTCTTGAGAATCGGAAAAAAAGGGGATTGAACAAAACTCTTAATATACAAAAGGAAAGCAATGGAAATTAGTGAACTTTTGTGTGTGTGTGTATTTAGGCTCTATTCAGTATATAATTACATAATGACATTTTCATCCCCCTCCCCCCGCGGATCTACTCTGAGTTGCATTTTGCTTTAATTACAATAGTTAATCCATAAAAAATATATAACGATGATGATGGCAAAAATATGTATGTTTCAAGTGTTTTGTTTTTATGTTGTTGGTGTTGTTGCAATTAATTGCATTTTAAATTGTTATTAAAGTTGCTATGGGTGTTGTGGGTGTTGTGGTTGTTGTGGTTGTTGTGGTTGTTCTAGTTTTTTGCTGCTGCTCTAAATTGGTGCTCTAGTCATGAATTTAGTATGGAACATTTGAGAAGAGATACGAGACGCTCTCGCCATTGTGTGTCCGTCTGACGGCCTCAGCGAACATCATCGACACATCAATGCACTGCAATAAGAGAAGAGTACAATTAGCGAGCGCTACAATTGGGGTCTTAGATGAGGACTAACCTGGATCTTAGGACAATCGCGCATATGTCCATCCTGTGGTATGGTATTGGTCACAACGACCGCCTCGAAACAGGCATTGTTGATCCGCGAGATCGCCGGACCAGAGAAAATGCCATGCGTCAGTATGGCATACACCTGAAATCGGAATTCGGGAACAGTTTTTAGAATTAGAAGAGAACTACTACATATACATAGTATGTTTATAAATAGTACATACCTTCGTGGCTCCAGCCTCGACCAGACGATCGGCAGCATGGACTATGGTGCCGCATGTATCGGCCATATCATCGACCAGAATAGCAATCTTGTCCTTCACATCGCCCACCAGCACCATCGAGGCCACCTCATTGGCCTTTTTACGCTCCTTGTGTATCAGAGCGAACTCCACATTCAAGCGATCGGCAATCGACGTGACACTAGAGCGGAAATATAATACCGATTATAAAAGGGTAAGGAACCATATATCTATATTTGACTTACCGCTTGGCACCGCCAGCATCGGGCGAGACAATGATCGAGTTCTTCCATTCGGGAATGTTCTCCTTGATCCACTTGAGTACTGCTGGCTCGGCATAGAGATTATCAACTGGTATATCGAAGAAGCCCTGGTGAAGCAAAAGAAAACAAATCCAAATGATCGAGTATGCATTGGAAAACCTTTGGCAAACGAATATCGTTTTAAATCAGTTTGCAAGTCAAGCCCGTTCAAATCACTACAGAAAATTGTTGTTACAGAAAAGAAAACATTTCCTTAAAATAGTAATTCCAAGAAAATGTCACATATTCGTCCTCTTCAACCCGATGAATGCAGCAATCTGAATCTGTGGCTCAAGATGCATCAAATCGACATAAATGCCAAAAAACGACGCGAACTCTCCGATGTCCTTCCGGTGGCCACAATTGTCAAGATGGTCTACACCCGTCTGGTGGACCTGAATCCCTACGCACAACCACGAAACAGTGTGGCTAACAAGTTGCAGAACTGGAAGGTTTTCAATTTTACGGTCCTCAAGAAACTAAACTTAAAGCTGTCCGAATCGGACATGAGGGAGCTCGCTGAAGGCAAGGTGGGCGCAATAGAGTGGCTGTTCCATGAACTCTTCGTTCGCCCGGAGAATCTTCACGGCGAGGATGACCAAGTCATTCGTACAGCAATTTAGATGCAATCAAACCTTTTTCTGTTCTTGATATGGATCCAAGACGCGCTAAGATTGGGTGAGCTTTGTTCACAGAGATCCCTCAAATGGTATTTTTAATGCTTTTCTATCCTGTCTTTTAGATATTGCCAATACCTGGAGACGCCTACATATATTTTTTTAAAGTTAATTTTGGGTTTTCAAACTTTATTTGGGTTTTGAAAAAAACAAAATTATTTTAGCTGTGCATATTGAAAATCAAATAAAAGCAAATTACCTTATCGCAAATGATTTTGTGACAAATTAAATATCGATATGGTTTAGACCTCGAATGGTACGATAACAAGAAGCTTCAACTGACATAAGATGTATGTACATATACATATGTATATGTACATGCAATTTTAAATAAAAGATTTCTTCATTTTCATATTAAATTAACTAGTAAGATTAAATTAAATTTCGCTCAGCTCTGACTTCCCTTCTACAGAAATATTTCTCAGTGTTCCCAGTGTTTCCGTATTCATTTGGTTTATTTTGATTCGACTTACCTGAATCTGTGAGGCATGTAGATCCATGGTTATGATGTGATCGGCACCGGCAACGGACAGCATGTTGGCCACCAATTTGGCCGAGATGGGCGCACGACTCTGTGCATTGACCAGCGTAGGAAAAAGAGAGGCAATGGAAAGTTAACATTAGCGCAGCTAGTAAGGTGGGACTGTCTCCTATGCGGAGGTGGGTGTGTGGTTGGGCTTAGGGCTAGAGGCATTATGAGGAAAATAAACCATGAAAATCAAAATCGAACATGGACACACATACATATAGTATAGGATATACACATAAAAACCAACAAAGAGGCTGAACGTTCCAATATATAATGTAATTCATAGACAAAAGAGACTTTCGCTTGCGACAACACAAAGGACAAATAAATGTGTGCAGTGGTGCACCCCCCAAGATGAGCTGAGAGCGAAGATCATTGATGAGCGAGCCCTCCCCTGCCCACTCCCACATACATATGATGAGAGTGCAACTTCAGTTAGAGACACGTTTAATTATAATTAATTAATAATTATTGATCGGTTAATATACGGAAACGGAAGTGATTTTCTGTTTATTTATCCCTATTTGTTTTTTGTTGGCATGCAGAAATACGATTACTATTTGTGTTTGGAATTGGATTTTGTCTGGGGTTTCGGGATGTATTTCTTTTAGAGGGATAAAATCATCATCTGGGGGGGATCAACTCAAAGGAAATCAAAACAATATAAACAATATGAACGCAACAAAGCAAAAGTCTGAAGCAATTTTATTTCTTTTCCGCGCGCTGCAGCAGCACTGAGAATAATGCCAGCGGGGGATGGGATAATGAACCCATTTATCCAAACACTTTGGCAGCAGCGGCACTGGCACGGCACTCACGACTACTCACAGTATATTGTTTGGCTGAAAACTCCTAAGTTTACGAGTATTTTTATCGAAATTTTGTTTGGTATTTTGGGTAATTTATTGTTTGTATTTTTTTTTGATGAGAGACAGATACAGATAGACGGAGATTATAAAAAGAAAAAAAGAAGAGAACATAAAAATGTCAGAATAATTAAAGAATTTAAGAATTATAAATTTTAAAAAAAATTTGCATTTGGAAAACGGATGGGACGGACAGGTTGTGTCGTCGGGTGAGGGAGTGTCTTCTTTTAGGTTTAGGATTAGTTAACAAAGATTGAAGCAATAATTAAGGGAAAGGCATCATCAATTCATCTCAGTTCCATTCTATGAGCAGACCTCAATACAATATTCAGCTGAATGTCAAGAACCTCCTTTTTAGTCCAATGAAATGGGTGTGCTGTTTTTCTACAGATTATTATACATAGATTGTTGTATCAGTTACAGCAATGAAAAATATTTTTGCAATTCGCGAATGTAACCCCACGGGTTCACAGCCACCCTCCATTGACGTCAAAAATATGAATTATCTGTAGTACCGAATGGAGTGGAAAAACTCAACCAAATCGAAAACAAGTAGAACCAAAAGACGAGCCTGTTGCCAGGCACCGATAGGAGGGGATCCCATCTCAAAAGTGCAAGATCACAACAATCAACAGATCACATCACCAGTCAAGTCAACACAGCACGACACAAAAATATATTTATTACAATATGTGGATTAATTATGTAAATTTGTAAAAATATTTGTTTAATTTATTCAATTTCTTTGTTGCAATGCAGCGTTTGCCAAACGAGACAAAAGCCAAAAACAAACAAACAAACAAAAAAAATGGTGTCGGGGAAAATGTGGAAAATTTTAGTTATTTTTCTTGCCAATTTAAAAAGATTAGTTTTTTTACGGGGTAGGGATAGGTCTTTACGGGGTGGGGGTTTCTTGGGTATTACATGCATGCGGCAGACAAAAAGCGATTTATCTCTAGAGAAACTTGTTGTTGTTGTTAGCCGAGAGACGGCGACCCAGGTGAGAGATTCGATTCCTTTTTTTGTTTTGTTTGGTTGGGTGAGAGAAATGAGAGATATCTGAGAGGATGAGAGTTATTGCCATGTATATTCCTTTTAGAGTTGAACGTTTTGTTGTTTTTTTTTTGTTGTTGTTTGTTTAATTAGAAAATCAAGTTTCAACTCCCATTATTGTAGTATTGTATATAGAACATAAAAATGTGAGATATAAGTAGGTGAGAGTTGGTTTTGTTTTGTTTTGCTAGTTAAAAGAAGGAAAGGTAAATACCCTAAATTTCCAATCGTAGTTTTTCTTGGCTAGTTTCTTGTTCTCCTCTTTATCCTCACCGCCAGCCAACTTCGCGAAGAATCAGAAAGAAAGTACATCAGGAGAGAAACGGAGAAACAAAGAGAAAGAGAGAAAAGGAGAGGCACACACACACACAGACGCAGGGTGGGAAGAGAGAGAGTGGGTGAGAGAGCGGGGGGTAGGTTGCAGGAGATAGATAGGCAGAGAGAGCGAGCGTGGCACGGAAATATATAAAAATATATATAAATTAAATATTAATTACTAAATGGAGGAGAAAATTATATAAAATATTCATCAAAAATTCACATAAAATTAATGTCAAAAATTTTCCACATTTTCCAATTACGTGCTTTTCGGTTTTTTAGCTTTTGCTTTTGGGTTTGCCTTTTGTTTTCCAGCTTAGCTTTCTTGTAAATATAATTCAAATTGTTTAACAAAATGCATTAGCAACATACACACACACACAGATAATACAGAAATAGATATACATATGTAGAAATATAGTATCCATATACGAGTAGAGATATAGGATATTATACGGATTTATACAGATATATTTGTATGTAAACAATCGAGCTAAACACTGGAAAACATTCGAAGGGAGAAGCATACTTAGCTTTTCCCTCCGTTATGGAACGAAAAAAATATAATAGAGTTTCATCTGTTTTGCTTTGTGTGTGCTTTGATTTTAGAAGATATATCAGATCTATACTTGGTTTTTCATTGCACGTACTGTACATTGAGTAGATTTTTTTTTACTGGGGAAAAAGCACACAGATCCTGTTAGGGCAAACCTACCTTATCTTTTTTATCTTGGCGGGCATATGGAAAGCAAGGAATCACAGCTGTAACACGAGAGGCTGAGGCGATCTTGCACGCATTGATCATGATCAGCAGCTCCATCAAATTGTCGTTGATCTCCCCGGAGCCAGACTGTACGATGTACACATCCTCGCCGCGCACCGATTCCCCAATTTCCACACTGCAAAAGACAAAGACAAATACATGTTCAGGTTTAGAGATACATAAACAGTTTTTTATTTCTCAATTATTTTTTATTTATGCGATTCGATATGTCCATTGTTTTGAGTAGAGCTCGCATTTCTTGTCAAGTAATCCTTTCTACTCCCTCGTTATTGTAATTGATGGATAATCTAAACAAGGCACTCCTCAATGGAAACCGAATACCGTACGAAACCTTTTTTTATGCCTCATATGGCGTATGAGTAATTATTTTTCCAGACGCTAACGGTGCAATTTCTGATTGGTTTATTATTTTGTATACATTTGCTTTTAGGTCTACAGTATTTCTTAAGAGTTCTATAGATTTGATACATTTTTAATGAAATTATCACATATACGAGTAATGTGTTAAATTGCTAAACACTATGCTCTAGAGACGATGGGAAAGGGTAAGACATCTAGGCAATACCTTTGTACAGTCTATACATACTCGTATAGTAGCATCTGTTTACTAATTAAACAAATTATGACAGCTGTCACAAACAAATATAATTAAAGAGATTATATTCTAGTATTCTATTATATTGCATATTTTAGTTTTCTATTATAATTCTTTTTAAAATATACGAAAGAATATGAAAATTATTCTTTGTTAGTAACGTAAAGCTTAAAAATATACTACGCACAAAGGTATCTACAATTGTTTATAAGGCAATCATCAGCAATCAGAAAATAAATTTCTTTTCATTAAACAATTTTCGACAAATTGTCTTTTCTAGTTTTTTCTCTGTTCGTTTGCTTATAGTTTTTTGTCTTTTGTTTTCCATTCCAAGGTTAATTGAATTACATGATGGACGAATTTCAAACTACACCATTACCCCCATCCCCTTTGCCAGTCGCAATCCGAAACCCACTCTCACGACCACTCCCAAACTATCGATTGAACGACCTGTGAAAATGTAGCCAACGTACATCATAAATCATTTGTGTCAACGTTTGGGTTTATCGTTACCCTATAAAACAAACATTGAAAGCTCTTTGGATGGATCTCAATGCAGTCTTAAGACCTAATCGATGTTTTTATACCCTTGCGAAAACACTACTAAACATAATACACAAAAAAACGTCTGCAAAGTTGACTGTTTTAATATGATCAAATAAAGGCAAATGTGGGAAAAACTTGGGAGTCCAGTTGAGCGTAATTCCATTTTCCATATTCATATTCCGTTATGTTAGTGGCCCATGTGCAGTGAAACTTTTTTTCTTCATTCGAATATACATCCTTACGTAGAGGGTAGCAATAAGAGGAAATATAAATATTAATGACACACAAACATTAAATATCAACCATCCTACAAAGAATATTTCTAGTTTTGTTTCATTCTGCAATTTTTCAACCGAACAAAAACACTGGCACATCAGCTGTTCGCTTAAGTAAAGATTCAATGTAGTCCCATATTTATGCCAAACCGTGCACCACTCACTCGTAGTACAAGCTTATCAAACATACAGAAAATTATATTGACCAGCTGTTTTTTGGGTATTTTCTTATCAACCGGCTGTGAGACTCTGAGCCTCGGTCAG